TCTGGTCGGTCAGTGTGGGGGGAATCACCTACGTCGGGTGTAAGGTGTGTGGGTCTGGTCGGTCAGTCTGGGGGGAATTGCCAACGTTGGGTGTAAGGTGTGTGGGTCTGGTCGGTCAGTCTGGGGGGAATCGCCAACGTCGGGTGTAAGGTGTGTGGGTCTGGTCGGTCAGTCTGGGGGGAATCGCCAACGTCGGGTGAAAGGTGTGTGTGTCTGGTCACTCAGTGTCAGGTGCGATGGTAAACAGGGTTTAGTTGAAAGATAAGATAAGATACGGTAAGATCAAATGAGATGACGCGATGCGAGCTGAGGGGAGGCAAGACAGGATACAATCTGATGAGATGAAGTGAGGTGAAGTGAGGTGAGATCAGGTGAGGTGAGGTGAGGTGAGGTGAGATAAGATGAGATATAACATAAATTTTATTGATCATCGAGGAAGATTTTGGGTGGAAATGAAAGAACATCAACATACAAATATTCAGCGTCAACTCAGACATACACTCAGTATATTCATGTACACCGATACACAAAAAACAAAACACAACTCACTCACTCATGCAGATACACAGACAAAGATGCTTAACTCACTCACACAAGCAGACCCATTCTCACAAAGTTTCTCATTATACCCTGAATTTGGAAATACAATTAAATTGTAGCTGACGTTTGTTATGGAATTTTCAAGTTCTTTGCCATTATTTGATCAAGTGTTTGAATTTATCTGCTCGGTTCACGGGCCAGCCTCTGCCCACAAAGATAAAAACTTTCCTCTGAAATAATCAAAGAGTCTTCAGCAACCAAGTAGTGAGATCAGGCTCGCTTTTTGACATCAAGCCCACGTTGTTGACACATCGTTTTGGAGGGTGGTCACGTGGGTGTGTCCTTGAGCGACACATGATACGGCGAGCTAACAAAGCAAGGGCAATGAGACATGGAATGTTGGTGGTGTCTGTACGTTTCCGTTTGTGTGGGTCTGACAATATTTGTGATAATAGTATCTCCTCCGTCAATATCTGACGATGACCAAAACATCCACAGAGGAGAATACTTATTGTCCAATGAAATAGAAGAATTCACAGAAGGAAAAGTTACGATGACTTGTGGCTTCTGCTGTGGCCGATGAGACCAGTTCTGGCAGAGAAAAGTTTGCCACATTTTGTACATTTAAAAACTTCACTTCCACTTGTGGTGGATGTGCACACCTTGCAGGCTTCTCTCTTAAATTTCAGAATTTCTTTTTATGCATGTATCTATTTATTTATGTATTTATGTAGGCTATCATATTTATTTGTGTATAATATGACCTCATTGTAAACCAAATTTCCCTTCAGGGATCAATAAAAAAGGAATTTTATCTAATTTTTAGATTTAAAAAAAAACCACTGTGTCGGCAGGAGGGAAACACACTTAACTGTGACGATGGGAGCGTAAAAATATGACGTACCTACCTTAGATTTCTTTTCGCAGGGAGATAAAGGTTTCGACGTTTGTCCGTGCAACACGGTGCTCAACCACCTGGCCAAACTCCACGACCCTGACCTCACGTACGACAAAGGGGGACAATTGGCAGCTCAGGGGAAGGTGATCCCGGAGCTTTTGGAGGAGTTGGAGAACCTGGACTTTTATCAGCAGACTGGGCCCAAGTCATTGGGCTATGAGTGGGTGCTAGACAACGTGCTTCCTTTGTTGAAGGTCTGTCTAGATGTGTGCTTGTTGTTGGTGGTGTTGTTGTTGATGTTGTGGTGTTGTTGTTGTTGTTGATGTTGGTGTTGTTGTTGTTGTTAATTGTCATTGTTTTTTTGTTTTTTTATATTAGTGTTGTTGTCACTGTTATTATTGTTGTTGTGTTTTTATTATTGCTGTTGTTATTGTTATTGTTTTTATTATTGTTCTTTTTGTATACAGTTCTTTTTGGTCATTGTCATTATAGTTGTTGTCTTTATTTTATTGTTACTCTCAATGTTTTTAAAAATTATTTTTGCTGTTATCATGTCATGGTTGTTGGTGTATTATTATTATTATTAT